TTGATTGGTCCTTAAGCTGTATGGAATCTGTAGATTAATTCCAAATTTATCCCTGAACTTTCTTCCAAAGATACTTGGGTAATATGAAACTGCATCACAGTGTTCTGTAGGACATTGTGACATCATTGTTACTTACTATGCCATCACAATCAAATGACATCATTAATCTCTGTCACAAAAGGTCATTAGGGTTAGCTGGCCTTCTTATACTGAAAACACTGATTTCTACTTTATATAAACTAATACATAAAAATAATTATAGTTTCAGACACTCATTTATATAAATTTAAACTCCTCAGCAAGGCTAAGGATTTGAAATTAAACTTCAATTAACTTAATGTAGTTGATATCAAAATACTGGGGTGAGATTCTGTATACCATTTGAATTTGCTCATCATACTGTATTCTTGCTTTCTTTGGCTCAGCTAAGATGAGGCAGGGATGGTCAAGTCATTAATGGTGCAATCATTTGCTGTGCAGAGTTGTTTCCATTTCCCATATCAGAAGGTGAGGTGAGGTGAAATTTGGTTTAACGTCGCGCTTGAGAATATATCGCTCATATGACGACGTGCACGCGTGTGCATGTGTATGTGCAGCTGCTTGTACTAGCCCAGACTGAAGCTGGTTTTATAGTGCTAGCCCACTGAGATACCATGCCGCAGTGAAGCTTGAATACCCCACTCAGACACGTTATACTGACTCCGAGCCGACCAGTCCTTGTTGTACCCATTAATGCAGAGTGCCAGGCAGGGACCAACAAGTACCATATTTTAATGTCTTTTGGTATGACGCGGTCAGGGATCGAACCCGCGATCTTCCGCTCTCCGGGCGGACGCTCTAACCACTACACCACGGAGGCGGTCCCCACACCAGAAACCTATGATTGAGTATTGAAAATCAAATTGGACCCAGATATGTTTTTAGGTTAGTCAGCACCATGCCTGTGTTTGTTGGTTTAATAAATGTGGTAAGCATATTGGACTTTTCTGTCACATCAAGGAGACTTACTGTGATATAACTGGAATACTGCTGAGAGCGGCATTAAACCAAACTCCCTCACTCCTACCACACAAGACTGTGAATCCATTTTATGATACTGCTTATGTATTGCTCAATCCGACATAATACTGCATAATGCAACAAAAAACCTCATTCAGTGAATTTCAAGACACTAATTCTTTCATGCTTCAGATTTCCAAATGGTGGTGTTGAAATACTACACTATCAGTGACACGTGGCAACTGGTGTTCTTAGCCTTAATGATAAGGGGATACTGCCGTTCTTGTACAGCGTTCAGCTGGGTACACAGTTGCCTTGTAATACTTCTGATAAATTGGGCAAACTAAATACACAACTGTCAGATTATTTTTTTTCTGGGATCGGTTGAAATAACATGGCCTGCTGTGCTATTTACTCTCATATTTGACCAACTTCACCGGGATTACCTTCGCTGATGTAGCTTTAAACAGCCGTAACTTGTAATCTAGTTGTGAAAGTGTTGAGGCAATATGATTGTGCTGGCATTTGGCCCTCAGTGTAGAAAGATACAGGTCATAAACCAAAGTTAAGCAACATTGGTCACAGAGACTTAATGGGTTATTGAGTTTCTAGGGATTGGTCTTGCACGAAACTGAAGCACATGAGTGAGTGAGTGAGTTAAGTTTCACACCACTTTTAGCAATATTCCAGCAACATTGCAGAAGGGAACATCAGAAATGGGCTTCACACTTTGTGCCCATGTATGGAATCGAACCCGGGTCTTTGGCGTGACAAGCAACTGCTTTAACCACTAGGCTACCCAACAGCCCCCTGATGCACATGTAGCACATGCAGTGGTTTGGTTTGGTTCTTGTTTTATACCGTTCTTCTCAGCTATATTCCAGCTATATGGCGGTGGTCTGTAAATAATCAAGTCTGGACCAGACAATCCAGTGATCAACAACATGAGCATCAATCTATGCAACTGAGATACAATGACATGTGTCAACCAAGACCAACAACATGAGGTGAGGTGAGGTGAAATTGGGTTTAACGTTGTGCTTGAGAATATTTCGCTCATATGACCACGTGCATGCGTGTGTATGTGTATGTGCAGCTGCTTGTACTAGCCCAGACTGAAGCTGGTTTTATAGTGCTAGCCCACTGAGATACCATGCGCAGTGAAGCATGAATACCCCACTCAGACACATTATACTGACTCCGAGCTGACCACTCTTGTTGTACCCATTAATGCCGCGCGCCAGGCTGGGACCAACAAGTACCATTTTTTAACGTCTTTTGGTATGACGCGGCCGGGGATCGAACCCGCAACCTTCCGCTCTCCGGGCGGACGCTCTAACCATTACACCACGGAGCAACAACATGAGCATTCATCTAGGCAACTGGTATACAATGACATTCAGTGATGCTTCCTTAAGCACATAGTTTTCTTTGATAGATTTTCATACAGCAGTGAATGGATACCAGGTAGGATGGTAATATGACCATTATCCTTGTCACGGTTAGCTCAGACTGTAATATCCAAACGAACCACGGAATGGAAATAACCGATGAATACATACGCCATTTAGAAAATCATAATAAATTGAACAACTCTTATATTTGGGGTTCTGGGATTCGAACTCACACTCTCAGAATGAGGCACCAAAACTCCTAATCCACACAGCCACCTTGGCTTCCACAATAGTATAGATCACATACTTTGTGAACCCTGCTCATGAATAAATTGTGATCAAAGAGTAGCAAAGCTGTAACTATTGCTGATTGTATATCACATTCCTTCTTGAGTCCATGTTTTCACTGCCCTGTATGCCAACCCTTTGTACTTAGAGACCTGTGCACAGAGAGACTCTGTGTTGTCTTGGATTTAGTAATCAAGCACTACACCACCAAGATGGAGCCTCATTAATCCAATACCTACTGAAAAGTAATAATATTTAGCCGTTTCCCTGATTTCTGCAGTACTCAAGTCAACCAATTTCATACCATACATTCACAATAACAACTTACACTGCACCCAGATCAACCCAGTCTGGATCAATAACATATCACTCGACAGACAATTACAGATGCAACTTTCACCACAAAAACAACAATTTCCTCATTCCCGTGACACTAGGAGATTCGTACATTTAGCTCCATTGTGAACAACAACAATTCCAATGTAAAACTCCACTACCATCGGCCAACCTGACCCCAGGGAGTGTGAATCAGTTATAATGCAGACTTATCATAACATTAGACAAGAACCCTCTTCACAGCCAAACTGCACTCATCTGATTGCTGATGACTGTTCCTGAAGCCCTTGGGTAGTTCCATGTTCCATGTGTTCTATGGCCATCTATAATTATATATCTCTGTCAAGGGGGATATGATGTTGTGACTCTTATACACTGGACTTTGGCCAACTCTGTGGGTGGAATACTGTATTGGAAAATGAAAATTGTTTCTTATCCTTTCTATCTATTTGTTCAAGAATCAGCATATGTCCATCCATAACTTCAAGATCATCTGTTTAAATTTGTTTTCTCCTTATCCCATCCATCAGCTTATGTTTTCTAATAATCGTAAATTACATTTCTCATGGTCACACACGTGGCGTTGGTGCAATCTGATAATGTACCATTAGGCTGTATGTTAACTGTATGCAGTTGTCAGAAAGCACAGTCTCTTAACTGAATGAATAACTTATTGGAATTGATGTACAACCTTGACTTCCTGCAGCAATCAATATTTCTTATAGTCATCCATAGTCTGAATCTGATGCCACATTAGGCTGGCAGACACAGCATTTTTCAGAGACACATGTTCCAAAGTGGGCTTTGATTGGTTTAGGCCTTTGACACACATTGTGTGTCTTCAGATGTCATAAGAGACCTGTACATTAATAATAATAGCAATAATAATAGTGCACATTTATAATACGCTCATTTCCACGCTTGCATCATGCTCAAGGCACAAAAGTTAATAGTACATAGGAAGGGATAATGACAAAAGTTATTATGGTTCATAGAACTTCATGCGGAAAAGAGGAGACTTGATTTGAATGACACAAGCGTTGGATAAAGTTTCAGATCTTCGGGGTGAAACGGTACGCTCTTACCATAATACCGTATGTATTGCGATACAAGACCTTCGTTTCTGTTTGGTATATGAGATAAGAGCACAATGCAGAAAATTGACATATGGCAAAGAAATGCATAGATTTTGACAAAACGATTTGAGTTCTAGACATTTTAGGAAAGGTATAAAAAGGTTAAGAAATTGACGTTACGAAAACCGAAAAAACCGAATTTTTGGATTGCAAAATACCATGGTTCTACTGATACCACGGTATACCATTTCACCCCTATCAGATCTTGGGGAAGAGAGTTCCACATGTAGGGGGCATGATGTTCAAAGGATACATCGACTACTTCAGCAGGTTTCAGCAGACTCAGGACCCAAACACTGACTACTTCAGCAGATTTTGGCCCTTGACTCAAAGCACATACACTGACTACTACAGAAAGTTTCAGCACGTGACTCAGGACCCAAACACTGACTATTTCAGAAGGTTTGGCCCTTGACTCAAAGCACATACACTGACTACTACAGAAAGTTTCAGCACGTGACTCAGGACCCAAACACTGACTACATCAGAAGGTTTCAGTGCTTGACTCAGGACCCAAACACTGACTACTTCAGAAGGTTTCAGTGCTTGACTCAGGACCCAAACACTGACTTCTTCAGAAGGTTTCAGCGCTTGACTCAGGCCCCAAACACTGACTTCTTCAGCAGGTTCTGGCCATTGACTCAAGGTACATATACTGGCCACTTTAGTTGGTTTCAACCCAGACATGATACCAACACTGAACAATTTGGCCATTAAGTCATCTCTTACTGTCAACAAGACACAGCCCTTTACAGCTCTTGACACTCCAATTTGCAATCACTACAATACACTTCCCCATGTTAGATGTGTGAATGTTACAATGTAAAGATCAGCAGTGGGTACCTACCTTGATGGCTTCAGCAGGTGTTGGTCCCTGACACTTCTCAGAGTCATAGTACAACTGCAGGTACTGCTGTTTCAACCACTGCAGCTTCTTGTCTGTCTGGTACTGTAGTTTGTGGGATGCCCGTACCAGACACTTGAGACCATGGTACCAGATCTTGGCAGTATGTGCAGACGCAATGAACCACAACTTGCGGTTCTCTGACAGGTAGGTTCCATACAGAATGGTAATACAGTTGTGCTCATGACTAATATCCTCCAACCCATGGCGCTTGGACACAGCAGCAAGATCAACAGTTTCATTGTCGAAATACACTTCCTTGATGACAGTCACATCAATATAGCCTTCCTCTAGGTTATCACAGACTTCCTCGCCCGTTGTGTGGCGAGCACATAGGATTTGCGACCCATTGCTCTCCACTTCACCCTTCAACACATAATCTGGCGTGGTGTTGCCAGCGTGGCGTAAGCGCCTCCATGATGGTTTCCGCCAGGTTAATGTGGCATTGTCAATCTCGAGTCGGGGTAGCACATGCACGCGACCACCGTCCTCCTCCCATCTCACCATTGTTGTCCCATGGTTCATGCACTGTAGCCAATGATGGTTCAGACATGCCACCTTGGGGGTGATGATCATGACCTCATGGTCACTGTACAGAGGTCGAATAGGTTGGTAGCTGTCAAGGTCAAGGTCATAGTCACTATCACTGTCATCATCTTCAGATCGCACATGGTTCCTGTAAAAGAAAAAATGGAGGATCTCATGAGACACATTCAAGATAATTTTCAAGTTATACAGCCAAGGCTCTTACATGTCCAACCAACAAATAGAAATGGGAACAGGGAATTACTGATTCATCAAGATTACAGGAACAAGATTAAGAAATCTGAACAGAAGCACCAACAAAAGACAAACACAATACACGAAGTATGCAACATGAAGAGTTACAAAATGTGACTCTGAGACAACTCTGTGATAGGACTTTATAACTTGTGACTGGTTTTTTTCGCAGCTGATTTTAAATACTGCCAATATCAGAGGGATATTCTCTGAGGGATAAGCCAGCAATAAGACTCATCTTACACTCAAGAATATCATTTACAAAATTACATCACAATTCTAATATCCATGATGATCCAGGTTAGAATTGGTCTTCAGGAACCCATGCTTGTCATAAGAGGCGACTAACGGGATCGGGTGGTCAGGCGTACTGACTTAGTTGACACATGTCATCGTATCCCGATTGTGTAGATTGATGCTCATGATGTTGATCACTGGATTGTCTGATGCAGACTTGATTATTTACAGACCGCCGCCATATAGCTGGAATATTGCTGAGTATGGCATTAAACAACAAACAAAACAATTTCAAACCTGAGATGGAGATGGAAAGCATTTGGATATTGTCCTCTTTCCAAATGAGATCCAGTGGCCATGTAGCCCATGTGTGTGTGATTGTGTGTGCATGCATGCACATGTTCATGTGCATGTGTGTGTTCCAAGTTATACACTGCTGTAGCAGGATACAAAACATGGAAACCAATTTATGCCATAATAAGTAGTTTGTATGAATACACAATGCCAGGTAGAAAGTGGTCAAATGTAACAAATGCTTCTAGTAGTTAGCCCCATCTGAGATCCGAACCCTCAGAGTGAGTGAGTGAGTTGGGTTTTATGCTGCTTTTAGCAATATTCCAGCAATATCACGGCGGGGGACACCATAAATGGGCTTCACACAATGTGCCCAAGTGGGGATTCGAACCCGGGTCGTCAGCGTGACGAGCCGACACTTTAACCATTAGGCTACCCCAGCGCCCCTCCCTCAGAGTCAAGCACCTAATCAGCCAGCATACAAAATCAGCCGCCTAACCAACTTAGCCACCGCGGCTTCCACAAAAGTGGAATTCAGACAACTGGTAGTCTACACCACAGACCGTCGGAGCCGTGCTAATCAGAGGGGTACACAAGGTCTGTGGTCAAGACTACCAGTTGTCCGACTTCCACTTTTGTGGAAGTCGTGTTTTTCTGAGTTGGTGACTTTGTGTACTGACTATTAGGTGCCTGACTCTGAGGGTGTGGGTTCAAATCAAGGACGGGACTCAACACAACAAAAGTACTAGAATCTGTACTTTACTGAAAAAAGTGTAATCCCAAATATAACATGTGTTACAAGTATTTTGTAGATCAGTAATAATGCATTACACCATCTTTGATTGGTGCTTTTATTGTCCAGCTGATAATCCACATGCATTTTGGATGAGATGACTGATAGTAGATCTGGGTTATCCTTAACTTCTTTTCAGCTGCAAGATGCATCATGTATTAAAAATCTAGCAGCCATATGTCACAATTACGGAGATGGTGTGACGCTTGTCTCATCACCAGACAGCTGGACAGGTGATCAGCCTCAGTTTCTAGCAATGCCTAGCAACAAAATATTGACCATAGCATCAGACAAACAGAGATTTAACAGTTTCTATAACGAGGGTGTGCCCATTACCTGGATGAGTTGCATGTCAGCTGACCTACAGCTCATTGGTCAGTTAGAGGCTGATAATCACAGCTCATTGGTCAGTTGGAGACGGAAAATCTGCTCAATTGCACCAAAGCCTGGTCTGGTTATTCTACTTACTGGTCTGATTGAGCTTAAATGTCAGCCATCTAGGGATATATCAAATGCTGGGTAGGGATCTGGGATAATTGTATTACACGACTAAAATCAGTATACGCTGCAGTTCAGTTGTCCTCTAACAGTTCCCATGAGGGATAAATATGTTTGTTATATTTAAAAGGGGAATTGTATATAATTTCTAAACTTGACCTGTAACATACAACATGTTTGTTACTTTTAAAGGGGAATTGTATTGGATAACAGAACTGTTACTTCTAAACATGAACTGTAACATACAACATGTCTCTCACTATTAAAGGGGAACTAACATTTAACATGTCTGTCACCTTTAAAGGGGAATCGTTTTACATAACACAAATGTTACTTTTAAGGGGGAATGGTGTTTGATAGCATATCTACTACATTTAAAGGGGAACCTTCTTCCATAAAATGTCTGTTATTTTCAAAGAGGAGCTACAGGTAACATGTCTGGTACTTGCCACTGGGTAGATTGCATGTCTCTAACTCAAAAATACATGTGCACGTTTTTAAAGGAGAACATACCCATGAACATCTGGGTTAGAATTGATCTTCAGTAACCCATGCTTGTCGTAAGAGGTGACTAACGGGACGTGGTGGTCAGGCTCGTGGTCTTGGTTGACACTTGTCATTGTATCCCAATTGCATAGATTGATGCTCATGATGTTGATCACTGGATTGTCTGGTCCAGTCTCGATTATTTACAGACCATAAGAGAACTCTTTATTTAAGACAGGAAGTGGTTTACAACCGTCTGCTTCCATCGCTGCTACATAACACTTGCCAGGAAAACAAAATGGCATAAAGCTGAATATTGATGAATGCGGTGTAAACTAACAAACCAACTAAAGGAGAACAGCAACAAACAATATCTCTGTATGTGAGGGAATTATACCCTTTACACCCTGTACCCATGTGCGGAATTAATTGAACTCAGGGTTTTCTGTGTGACCGGGGGTGTTTTGACCCCAAAACTACTCCCCATTGCCAGAGTATAGAGAGACAGCGGGTCACTTTGACACATGTCATTGATTGGCGGTATGACCTGGTGATCAATCAATGATTCCAATATAACTGACCTTGGAAAGCAAACTGGTAAAAAACGTTATTTTGTTCACAATTCATGTTTTTCAAATGTTCTCATATTTCAAATTCAGGGGTTTGGCAAATATGAAAGCAGATGTTTCATTGAAAATAGGGATTTTATCAAATTCTGTTATTTTAATTCAAAGATATTTTAACTTTGTATTCTAACATTACATTTACTGCAATAATGTGAGTGAGTGAGTGAGTTAATATTTAACGTCACATCGGCAATATCTCAGGCATATCGTGACGAAGCAATAATGTGAAACTAAGTATGAAAGTTTCTTCCTCTTAATGGTCCTGTTATCAACAGAAGTCTTCTCTACAAAGACATTACTAATATCAGTTTGTAGGCTGAGAGATCTCAGCAAATCACACATATATGCCAGAAACTGGATCATAATAAGATAATAGAGCAATTTGCAGAGAAAATATCAATAAAGAAGATGTTATCCACACAAATTGCTTTTTAATAAGTATTCTCATGTGGGATGGAAAAAAGATTGGCTTACAAGCCTTACCTGACTTTTTAGAAGCAAGAGTTTCTTATCATGTGTCATGTGAGCTAGTTTAACTTGAGAAGAAGCCTCAGAGATAATTATTCATGTTTGAGAGTTCTTCAATTTGGATTGCTATATAGATATAGGTTGTGTCATTCAGGACAAATATAGAATGCTTCTACTGACATGGGAGAAAAAAATCCCCTGTGTTAAAGGATACAACTATAACTTTCATAGCATTATTTAGATGCCTTGTTCAGATGTACTGGGATCTCCAAATATTTACAGAAAACATACAACTTTAAGGACAACAACTTAATTAGGGCATTTTGTGACCTTATGATGTAAACTTTTATACCGCAGTAAAGCTAAAATGGATAATGATCTTACAATCTCACTAATTGTTTTTGCTAAATTCAATGACCAGAATGGAGAACCATAAAGATGCAATTTTCTTATTTACTCACAAACTATAACACAAATAAATAAAAAATATACAACCAAAACAAAAAGATATGGCTTTGTAACACAACTTGGAGCTCAAAGTAACGCCTCAAGTTTGGTTGTTTATACAGTCTTCCAACCACAAACAGGTAATGTCAGATGATGATGTCAAACAGATGAACTGGACATCTCCTCCTGGAACCCAGTTATCTCCCTTGTCCAAAATGGCGACTCCATCACTCCATCACAGATGGACCTCCATGACCCGTCTTTAAATACACAGCAATGATCCTCCTCTCACTGGTCAAGAGGTCATACAAAATTGTCAAGGTCAAGTGAAGTCCGCGAGCCGAAAGTAGGAGTAAATTGCAAAGGGCAGATCAATCTGATCCCAGCCAATGAGATAATTCTAGCCAATTGCTTGATTGACCTGTTTGTCTCCCCATTCTAATATCTGAGAAAACAAATCAGAATGCATTAATGTTGATGCATCTGTTCCAAAATCGTACTTGATGCTCAATAGGGATGAAGAATAATGAGACCAATGCAGATCCAGTGTTGGTGTATGTGTGTGGACAGTGTCCCTTTTTGGTGGCATATTAAACACAATTTATGGATAACTACTTCTTGGTTTCGTTAGTGCGATGTTTCGATACAGATGCTTGTACCGTTGTCAAGCAGGAATCACATCGAGAGGCTAGAATCTTTATCGAAATGTCGCACTCACGAAATAAATGAAGTTGTTATCCATGGAGTTTGTTCAATATTGTACTTCCCAACTTCTACTCAAGGAACTGTTTCCCCTATTGGAAGCATACTAAACATTTATGAATTCAGAAACGACAAATTATATATGAGTCCTACTTGGCCCTTGATTTGGGAAGGTCACCTATTGTACATTTGGCACAAAATACAAAGTGTTTAGATAAGGATAAAATGTATCAAAAAAGTCTGATTTTAGAGGGTTCAGCATTGTTGTAATATCTGAACAGTGTTTGACCCAAACTGATTTTCTCATGAAGATAAAACCTTGACAAACATACTAAGACACCAGATTCATTTCCCATCATGCACCTGCTCAAACTTGATCTCCAAGGTTTAGAAATAAGTATGTAAATTATTTTCAGTTGTAATTAAGTATTTACTTATGTCAGATGTCTGAAACCTACAAATTTAAGATTTCAAAAATGCTTACTATCAACCATTTCAACATGTCTGATAAGTTTAATTCGACTATTTCAAAATTTCCACACTTTGAGGACCAGTCACTTATCACAGAGGTATTATGTCAGTTTTTTTTATATATGTATCAAATATACATATAATTATTTTAACCCTTCCCAGGAGACTGTCATATATTTTTGGTGAACCTCTCTTGATTCCCTTAACAAATAACTGGTCCCTTAAACATTTGAAATCTCCAGCAGCCCAAATACTGCCCTTATCTTGCCTGGCACATACATTTGTTTTGATATTCTCTATAGTACACATATAACAATACTATAAGTACCATTTGCTGATATTTTTGCAACAAAAATTACACAACTGATGAAAAAGTTCAAGAATCACAAAAAGTACATCTCCTTTTTTAATAAAGCAACATCTGTACTTTGTGACACATAATATCGTTTGATTCCAGTTTTCCTGATTCCTGACTTTTGATGGTATTGATTGAAAATGAGGCTTTAAAAATATTTATAGCATCATGCACTGATTATTTCGGGCCCGTTGTCAACAGGATAAACACTGGCATGATCTGTTTTCAAATTGATGCACATGACATGTTTTTATGGGTTGGTGCCATGTTTTATGTGTGGTTTGTCAGTATAAGTAAGGCGTGATACAGCATTGAGTAGCATCCAACACATTAATCTCACCAGCAGTCAATGCAGAACAACACAGTAGAATTTTGATTTTGCCAATATTTGCAAAAAAACCCCATATCTTTGATTCACCAATCTGTCAATGTCAGCTATTAATAATATTCTAAACAATAAATCCGAGCATGAAGGGCTTCCGCACAGATTAACAGCCTGTGGTTGTCAGTTGCTGTGCTGTTAACTCTTGAGCCCTGGATACCAATGTGGACTCCTCCATGACAATGCATGGGAGAGGCTATTTTAAAATATTGGCAGGCTTAGGGTTAACCTCCTTGATACAGCTTCTGTCAGGAAGAGAGGGCACTGGAGCTGACCAGTTGTGGGTCAACTCATCACAGAATTGAAGTTACAGGTCATACGTTTGCATTTTTATATTTTGTATTTTTTAGAAAATGTGTAACATACATTATCTGAGTAGAAATGAAGATTTGGATTAGAATTGGACTTCAGTAACCCATGCTTGTCTTAAGAGGCAAAGAACAGCATCTAGTGTTCAGACTGGATTGTCAATCTGTAGACCTATGCTCACGATGTCAATCGCTTGATTGTCTGGTTGATGTCTAATTGTATACAGACCGCTGTCATATAGCTGAGTGACCCGTGAAGATCCGGGGTAGAATAGGTCTTCAGCAACCCATGTGCTTGCCATAAAAGGCGACTATCTTGTCGTAAGAGGCGACTAACGGGATCGGGTGGTCAGTTTCGCAGACTTGGTTGACACATGTCATCGGTTCCCAATTGCGCAGATCGATGCTCATGCTGTTGATCCCTGGATTGTCTGGTCCAGACTCGATTATTTACAGACCGCCGCCATATAGCTTGAATATTGCTGAGTGCGGCGTAAAACTAAACTCACCCACTCACTTACTCATATAGCTGAGTAATGCAGTATTACACAACAGGCAATTATAACTTGTGAGAATAAAGAGGCTTTAAACTTTAACTTTAACCAGCATTAGACCACAGTTAAATCAGCTGCAGAGGTTCTTCTGCTAGTTAACTGTAGGAAGAGTGAGTGAGTGATTATGGTTTTATGGTTTTTTAAGCAATACCACAGTGGAACATTTAGCAATACCGAAATTTGCTTCAGATATTGTACCCATGTGGGGAATCGAACCCTAGTCTTCAGTGTGGTGAGTGAATGCTTTAACCACTAGGCTACCCCACTGCCCCTACTGTTAGAAGAACAAAGATGACTGACTGACTGAGTTTGGTTTTACGCCGCTTTTAGCAATATTCCAGCAACATCACGGCGGGGGACACCAGAAATGGGCTTCACACATTGTACCCATGTGGGGATTCGAACCCGGGTCTTCGGCGTGACGAGCCAACGCTTTAACCATTAGGCTACCCCACCACCCCGAACAAAGATGAAGCCAAGGAACAACTATATATATAAAGACTGAATGCCCCTGTTACATTGCTTATGGGCTTTCTGATGAAGGCCAAATAATGTAGTCTCTGAATATGTAGTTTTGATAAAAAAACATCAGTCAATTTAAATTGAAAAGGAGCCCCTGTCAGATGGGAGATTCAGCCTGAACGTAAGCAATATCTAGACTTGCTTCATTTGCCTTTGCATTGCAGAAAGGTCTCAGTGAAAATAATGTGGTTCAGTGACTGGACGACTACAAATAGAGTTAAGAGCATAGTTCGGTATGTCACCTTACATGAAGGATGATGGAATATGGAATAAGTATGGCAGTTGCTTCTCTGGTACAAAATAATGTCATCCATATGTTCATCATTTATCAGGGTTTCACCTTGACTTACAACAAGCATTATCACTAAGGTGACATAATCAAATTATCAAATCAAACTTATAAAGTAATGAAAGTTTAAGTTAAATGTCAACAAAAACATGACCAGTCAACCTCTCTTGATATCTTGCTCTTTAGGTGTTCAAACACACACATATTTTCAACACTGACTTTGACCTTGACATGAATGTCATAGTGTATGAAATATGCAAAAGTAGTACTAAAGAAATTGCTTATTGAAAAACATTTAAGAGAAGTCTTGAAAGTCTGAAGAAAATCCAGTGAACCGTTCTTGAAATATCTTGCTGACAATTCAGGTTCACATGCTGAAATCTTCAAAGTGTCGCCATGACCTTGAAAATTATGTGAAGGTCACCAAAATCGACTGGGCCCTGCGCCTTCCCTAGATAAAGCTTTGTATTGAATATGAAAAAATCCAGTGAATGGTTCTTGAGATAGCTTAACATGCAGGTAAAATGTGAAAGTCCCCTTGTGACCTTGAAATGAAGGTCAAGGTCACCAAACCTGACTTGGACCTTTCTTATACTGTGATGAACCTAGGTACCAAGTATGAAAAGAATCTAGACAACGGTTCTTAAGATATTCCAATTCGTACGTACGTACGGACGGCGCCTAATACTATATCCCCCGCTTCGCGGTGGTGTAAAACATACTCACTCACTCACTCCTTTCCTGTTTTTAACTTTCCTAGTAGACAGTTGAATAACAGTGCTACATCTCACTAATAGAAACTCAATCTAGCACTATGTGCCTTGATCAACAGGTCCATTCTAATATTTATGGCATGAGACAATACTAAAATGGTACAAGGTGCTGCGAAAAAAATCTAGTAACAACATATTGCCTTGTATCCAGAGTACATTCATGTGGAAACCTGATGGATATACACACAGTTAAAATCTACCAAGGAAAACAACTTTCCCAATGAGTCTTAATATAGTCATGTGTAATGATGGGTTGTTTCACTAACACGAGGATAAGTATACACAATGTAGCAATATTGTTTAATTCAACATCATCTCACTGAAATAAATAAAAGTTAAATCCTTTTGTACTAAAGAAATAAGAAATTTCCTAATCCTAATTTTGTAACAAAATAACATTTTCCCTAATTTCCCTGTTAAGGGTTTTATGTTTGAAATGGACGATAAATCGCTGGTCAGTGAATGAGTGAGGGTGTGGTTAGTGTTGTGCGTAGTCAATGAGATGAACTATTTCTCAGCTGAAACAAAACTGAAATTGGTCAGTTTGTGCCCTACCTGTTCTCATCTTGTTCCATATCTTCCAGTTTCTGTATGAGCGCCCTCTGGTGGTCTGCATGGTGGTGGAACAGGAGGATGTCGTTCAGGACGATGTGAGCTTGTTTCAGCTTGTCCATGTTGATAAGGCCACCCACGCCGATTCGTGTCATGAAGCGGTCCTCCCCATTGTAGTCGGACACAAACTGAGGGAGAAACATGGTCATGAGGTGAAGTGACTTAAAACGGGATGTAATGTTGCGTCTAAAGTTATTGCATATAAAATGAAATGCATGCAAATACAAGGACACATGTGTGTGTAGCTGCTTGTGCTAGTATAAACTAAGGGACCGTTCATAATATATGGCTAGGGGGGTGATGATGATTTTAAGGGGTCACCCATTTTGTTCTGGAGAGGTAGGAGGGATCATCAATTTTGTACACATGTTTCAGGTCCAGCCATTTTGTACATGAAAATATTTTAAAATTATTCTTAAAAATATTGGAAGGGAGGGGGTCATTGATTTTGTACATGACATGCATGTGGGGGTCACTTACTTTGTACATGCTTCTCCATAAAATCATCATCACCATCCCTGGCCATAAATTATGATCGGTCCCTGATGCAGGTTATATATTGTCAGCCGAAAGTGATGCCAGTATTCTGTCTCCATGCCAACCAGTCCTCTGCTTATCTCTTTTACGCAGAGCACACAAAAAACTTGGTACCAACAATACCACCTATCAACTTCTTAAGCATGACATGTTTGACGTTTGGACAGTGGGATGGACTTAATGATGCAGACATAATCAGAGTTTTCCTCGTGGTAGTTACAGATTTTATGGATGCTTCACATGATGGCGTCCACCCAACAACCAGCTTTCATAACGACTGATTTTGTTTTCACCTTTGTATTTTTGCAGTTTTGTTACCAGAGAAACCATAGCCTGTATTTATGTGTTAATTTTTCCATGTGATTTTGATGACAATGTAACGATATATTGCAACAAGGTCCAATGACAGGGTTTTAATTTTACAAAAATCATATTTATAAATTTTAACATAAATTGAGGACAGGATTTATTATAGGGAAGTCTTGAATTGTTGGAACTGTCACATGAACAGCTCCTCCTATCAGGTACCTATTAATACTGACATGTTTAAAAGTAAGCAAAGTCTCTGGCATAAGGAGACACAATGTAACATGTGCTTCAGTGTAATGAAACCTTGTCTTTGAAAGCATACCTCTAAGTTTTGATTTTCTTCCGATGGAAGCACAATTAGACTTGGAACGCCGGCAAATATTGCCTTGAGATCACGTAAGAATCCACCGAAAAACGGAACCACTTTGCATTCTTGGATATCTAAGGCTCTACTGACGGCCTCCCTGTATTCTGGAGAAGGATCTCTTGTGAGCAGGACCTCAGTCAAGGAGCTTAAGGTGGACAGATTCTCTTCTGATATTGACAACCAGAAAGGTTTCAACTTCTCAGATCTGGAAAATAAATAAGTCAATGAGTGGTGTGCTTCCATTTTACCAGCGACAGTAGTCAGTAGGAAGAGTGTATACTAGTATATTTGAAAGTTGTACATGCAGAAGTGGGACAGGTACAAAATGCAAAATGCTACAGGAACTATTCCCTTCAGAGAGTGAGTGAATATTGTATGAGCTGCCTTTAGAAATGTTTTAGGAATTTCATCATCATTGGAACTGAAATCTGGTGTACCAAGCCTTATATTCCCCTGGCCAGTTTTTCCCAAGGAGGTAACAGCCCGACCAGACTATTCACTCTGAATTTAGGCTCAAAAGGTTCAGTAAACGGAAGATCTTCTGCTTCCATTTAGACTACTCCTTCCCCACACTGTCAAAATGTAAGAAAGGAATAAAAAGGTGCAGTGGTACTTTTCTGTTGTAATTCTTCAGAACAGAAAGCCACTCATGTTATACTAAAATAATTTTTGGGGGGGTTATAAATTGACGCAAGGTATCCTCATAATTTGTGACCTGCTTATGAAGCAAGTCTGGAATTCCGAGAGTAGAACTGCCCCAGGGAAGGTTTAGCCTGGTGCACTGGGTCTTCTGTGTGATGAGCAAAATTTTCTAGGCTATCCCATAACCCCACATTCATGTAGCCCTTCTGTGTTAATCTACTGGCACAAAAGATACCCTGCTCTTCCTAGAATCTGCATCTTTGATTGCCATGCTGCTAGAGATAGTCACCTGAGTCCTGCCAGTATCTCAACTGCGGAGTTGAAGTTGCCGAGGACGAAGCAGTAGACAGCCAGTCTCAGGATACAAGACAACACAGCCTTCCTGTCCTCATGGGTGGCCTGTGTGATGATGATCTGGGTGATCCACGTCGTCACCTACAACATTGACAACAACGTCTTTATAACATGACAAACACATTTATAAACAAGAACCAGAGCCTGAATTTGACTGTCTGTAGAGACTGGTCATCAAGAGTTGTTCCCCTTGGTGCAGAAACATTTTCCTCATAGAACTCTTGTCTGAATTCTTACTTTATTTCTTAAGACTCATGCCTGCCTTGTCATTGTCACATCATATATGACTATCTATACTTCAGCTTAAAAAACATATTTCCAATATGATTTATTTAAATAACGATATTGGGCAGGAATCATATTTTGACCACTTTGAATTGAAGGAGGTGTCTTTTGGTCTTCAAGCAAGCAGAGAGGTATTATACTGGACTTGATCGGATCTTAATGAGAGTGATAATATGTCACTATCAGAGTGTTTTTGTTCTGCTCTGAGATCATTAATTTAGTACAACACATTAGCTGTTTGTGCACTGGCATTTAACTTTCAACATAAGCATTACATTGATAAACATATTCTGTGTACCTCATTAAACCTCTGTATAAGATCTTCCACGCATGGGTGCTTCCTGTGAGTGGGTGACCTTGAGAGGTCAATTGTGACCTGTCGCACATACTGCGCGGAAGGAATGCTGGTGAAGAGGCTGTGTTCGGAGTCTGTCAGCATCATGGCCACTTCCTCGGGGAAGTGAAGCATCTTCTGAAGCTGCTCCAGCTCTGTGGCGTACTGTGTCCCACTCCTCATCTCCGTCTGCATCGACAGCTGTCGTCGGTGGAAGTCTGTAAAGAAAAGAATATCAATACTGACATATAATATAATATAATAACAAGTGTTTGCCACTGATATGGCAATGTCCCCCGCCGCTAAAGAATGGAATATCTATATTTACTACTTTTTATTTTTGGGTCACATACAAGATGCCTGAAATGACTGGTGTCTGCATAATCACCCAATGTAGGCTGTCAACATACTTGAAAACATTGGGTGCAATGTTTTATGAGATATCGCCTTTAAAAAGCGGTCAAAGTATCGTGGTGACCTTGAAGATAAGGTCAAGGTCACCCAAATAAACTAGTGTCTGTGTAATACCCCAATGTAAACTGTCACCAAATTTGAAGACATTGGGTACAACAGTCCATGAGATATCGCGTTAACAAGAGTTTGAAAAGTGGTCAAAGTGCCGTGGTGACCTTGAAAATAAGATCAAGGTCACCCAAATCAACTGGTGTCTGCATAATCTCCCAATGTAGGCTGTCACCAAATTTGAAGACATTGGGTACAACAGTTCATGAGATATCGCGTTAACAAGAATCGGGAATACGTACGTACGGACGCCGCTGAATACATAGTCCCCCCCCGTTGTGGCGGGGGACAATAATAGTCCATTTATCTTGCACATTTATCCACGCACATTGCATGTTCAAAGCACTGACATATTACCCCTGGTCAATGAGTACAGAACACTCCATGTGGAGAATACAACCGGTCACCTGTCAGGCTCTTAAGGTTCAAATTCAGACTACTGCAGGGAGGACAGAGGCAATTTTGAACAAACTCACTTCTGTAAGGTGAGACCACATGTATCACATGTGCTTCGTTGTGGGGCATGACTGAAGTCCTAGAAACTCTCAGGAGTCAAGCTGCCAAACACGGTCGCCATGGACTCTCTGTGCCCAATGTTAGTTAACTTCACCTTATTGTGACCTGAGATCTACCCACATGACCACACAATGCCACATATGTTGCAAAGAATATTTTCAGAGATACATCAGTGAGAATATTTGAGAGTGAGTACTTCAGTAGTTTCATAATGAACACAAAATGACAGTTAATCAATGTCGGTTGTGAAATATAACAGATGTAAAATAGTTTGACACCTCATGTTACACCAAAATTAATATACTTTGCCCCTTCCTATAACACCATTCATTATGATGCTGGGTAATCAATAGCTTCTACAACCTTCATCATTTTCCCCTTGAACCATGGGAACTTGATACTACACAAAAATGTAAGAAATGAAATATATCCACCAATCCATTCTGAATTATGCAATGTGAGGTGAGGTGAGGTGAAATTGGAGTTTTACGTTGTACTTGAGAATATTTCGCTCAAATGACGATGTGCATGTGTGTGTATGTGTATGTGCGGGCTGCTTGTACTAGCCCAGACTGAAGCTGGTTTTATAGTGCTAGCCCACTGAGATACCATGCATGCGCAGTGAAGCATGAATACCCTACTCAGACACATCATACTGACTCCGAGCCGACCAGTCCTTGTTGTACCCATTAATGCCGAGTGCCAGGCAGGGACCAACAAGTACCATATTTTAACGTCTTTTGGTATGACGCGGTCGGGGATCGAACCCACGACCTTCCTCTCTCCGGGCGGACGCTCTAACCACTACACCACGGGAGGTGATTCGAATTATGCAATGTAATACTGTAGTTACAAAATGTGGATCTGAAGCTTACACTGATATGCCAATTCCTACTTAAAGCAAAGACAGTCACTGCTTCAAGTTGAATTTCAAACATAACCTTCAAATTATCATCATAATTCCAGTAAATATTTATCTAATCATATATTTTAGCAGAATAAAAGAGATCAATTTGAATTTGACTTGGTGTTTGTTAAAATCATACATCATGCTTAAACAAAATTTCTTGGACAGACATTCTCATTTGAAAATACATGTATATATTCTTACCGAACTCGAAACTATCCCTCCTGAGCGTGCCATTATTAAGGAATCGTCCATCCATATCTAGCGCCTGCCAAATGGCTGCTGTTACTGACTTAAGATTGTCTAGTGTGGGCATCACAAACGCCCATGGTTTTGACCCACGAAACTCCAAGACCAGGCCATCATGGGCTTTCCCTGTGCCAGACAGCCAATCCTCCAAGTTACGAATGTTTTGTGATTTGGCGAGGAGTTTGGTTTTATTGTCCAGTAACACTATCTTCTCACTGGCAATGCCTAATAACCTGGGTATCTGCAACACAATGATTGAATGTTACCAACACCAAGGTTCCTTGACATAAGGGATAATTATACACATTTCAATAAAAATGAAAGTGGATTAATTTGTAAGTCCTTCTTTGCAACGATTACGGTATTTACCCATTCAGGGATACAGATTATATTTTTGAAAAGTTTCTTTGAAAAATAAAATGCATAAAGAAAGCTGATAGAGATCTTATTCTGGGAGTCAGTGTTTATCAGAAGAGTTATCTACCCTGATGCGTTTAATGTCTAAATTTACCTTTTTCTGTGTGTTTCCTCTGAGTATTTCCTTCACCTGAAAGATTTTGCATCCATAACTTGGCAGCTTCTTACAAATCTTTATGTACAGCTGCTTCAGTTTTAGTTCATTCTCGTAGTACGGAGTGTGCCATAGCTTCTTATTCTTCTCCTGAAAATACAAGGAATAAATATTGGTAATAGCTGAACTTATTCAGGCGAAGTGAGCCGGTGTGAAAGAAGTATTACTGCTTAATGTTAAAGAGCCCTTTACCACAGTGGTTGAGTCCATCGGGGCAGGTTATGGTGCAGGCTGACCCAGCACCATCAGGTGATGATGATGATGATGATGATGATGATGATGATGCCCCATGGCAATTCCTACACTCTCCACATGGAGACCCAGAATGGATCCACAGTATCCCATGCTTGTCTCCACATAGAGATTCTGTGACAGAATGGATCCACAATACCCCATGCTTGTCTCCACATGGAGATTCTGTGACAGAATGGATCCACAATACCCCATGCTTGTCTCCACATGGAGATTCTGTGACAGAATGGATCCACAATACCCATGCTTGTCTCCACATGGAGATTCTGTGACAGAATGGATCCACAATTACCCATGCTTGTCTCCACATGGAGATTCTGTGACAGAATGGATCCACAATACCCCATGCTTGTCTCCACATGGAGATTCTGTGACAGAATGGATCCACACTACCCATGCTTGTCTCCACATGGAGATTCTGTGACAGAATGGATCCACAATACCCCATGCTTGTCTCCACATGGAGATTCTGTGACAGAATGGATCCACAGTACTCCATGCTTGTCTCCACATGGAGATTCTGTGACAGAATGGATCCACAATACCCCATGCTTGTCTCCACATGGAGATTCTGTGACAGAATGGATCCCAGTACCTCATGCTTGTCTCCACATGGAGATTCTGTGACAGAATGGATCCACAATACCCATGCTTGTCTCCACATAGAGATTCTGTGACAGAATGGATCCACAATACCCAATGCTTGTCTCCCACTGTAGAGATTCTGTCTCCCCCACATGGAATGTGACAGATCCATCCAATACCACATGCTTGTCTCCACATGGAGATTCTGTGACAGAATGGATCCACAGTATCCCATGCTTGTCTCCACATAGAGATTCTGTGACAGAATGGATCCACAATACCCCATGCTTGTCTCCACATGGAGATTCTGTGACAGAATGGATCCACACTACCCATGCTTGTCTCCACATGGAGATTCCAGAATGGATCCACAGTACCCATGCTTGTCTCCCACATAGAGATTCTGTGACAGAATGGATCCACAATACCCCATGCTTGTCTCACATAGAGATTCTGTGACAGAATGGATCCACAATACCCCATGCTTGTCTCCACATGGAGATTCTGTGACAGAATGGATCCACAGTACCCCATGCTTGTCTCCACATGGAGATTCTGTGACAGAATGGATCCACAATACCCCATGCTTGTCTCCACATGGAGATTCTGTGACAGAATGGATCCACAGTACCTCCATGCTTGTCTCCACATGGAGATTCTGTGACAGAATGGATCCACAATACCCCATGCTTGTCTCCACATGGAGATTCTGTGACAGAATGGATCCACACTACCCCAATGCTTGTCTCCACATGGAGATTCTGTGACAGAATGGATCCACACTACCCTTGCTTGTCTCCACATGGAGATTCTGTGACAGAATGGATCCACACTACCCCATGCTTGTCTCCACATGGAGATTCTGTGACAGAATGGATCCACACTACCCCATGCTTGTCTCCACATGGAGATTCTGTGACAGAATGGATCCACAATATCCCATGCTTGTCTCCACATGGAGATTCTGTGACAGAATGGATCCACACTACCCCATGCTTGTCTCCACTTGGAGACCCAGAATGGATCCACAGTATCCCATGCTTGTCTCCACATAGAGATTCTGTGACAGAATGGATCCACAATACCCCTTGCTTGTTTCCATATGGAGATTCTGTGACAGAATGGATCCACAGTACCCCATGCTTGTTTCCACATAGAGATTCTGTGACAGAATGGATCCACAATACCCCTTGCTTGTCTCCCATATGGAGATTCTGTGACAGAATGGATCCACAGTACCCATGCTTGTCTCCACATAGAGATTCTGTGACAGAATGGATCCACAATACCCATCATGCTTGTCTCTACATGGAGATTCTGTGACAGAATGGATCCACAATGCCCCATGCTTGTCTCCACATGGAGATTCTGTGACAGAATGGATCCACACTACCCAATGCTTGTCTCCACATAGAGATTCTGTGACAGAATGGATCCACACTACCACATGCTTGTCTCCACTTGGAGATTCTGTGACAGAATGGATCCACACTATCCCATGCTTGTCTCCACATAGAGATTCTGTGACAGAATGGATCCACACTACCCAATGCTTGTCTCCACATGGAGATTCTGTGACAGAATGGATCCACAATACCCATGCTTGTCTCCACATATGGATCCACACTACCCCAGAATAGATCCCCAGTACACCAAGCTTCCTTATAAACAACAAAATTTGAACATAGTGATTCCTTCCTCCCTCCATTATACAGTGAGTTGTGTCCCTTCCAACAAAGAGAAATGATTTGATAGGCACTCTAGGTAGCAATGAAAATGCTGACATCAGCACAGATCCACAAAAAAATCACTCACCGTTTCACCACACATCAAGAATATTGCATCTACTTGCACAGCACACGCTTGCACTCAGCAGCAAGAATACTTTCTCCATAAAACACAAGGCGATTAGTGAGCGATCCATTAAAACAAACTAGTACTAGTGAACGTTGCTGGAGAAACAGCAGCAAATTTCATTGAGGAAATCAACAATTACATAAAAAAATACCTTCTGAGTGTTGTATAGGAAATGGACAAGGGGCCTATTTCCTGCTTGACAACCTACGAATAGAACTAATTGTCTTGGAAATATTTTGTTATCAGATTTTAAGGATGAACACTCGAAACCCATTTTATGTATTATTGATTTCCCTCAATAATTGCTGTTCTCAACAGCGATTCACTAATCTAGTAATGGATAGTTCACTGTGTTTATGGAAAAGCTATTCTTGCTGCTGTCTATTCTTGATGATGATGATAACCGATGATACGGATCTATTTTCTACTATCAAATCGTGGAAGATTTTAACTGGGAGAAAGAATCTTCTGTTCAAGAACACGTTATCAAAAGGAAGCTTGTTACTGAGGATCTATTCTGGGGAAGATGGATATGTGAACAATGGTATTATTGGATCCAACAGAATCTCCATGTGAAGCATTAATTAGTGTTGAATCCCATTCTGTCACAAGTCTATGTGAGACACAAGCAATAGTGAATGGATCCGATGTCTGAATCTCAAGTCATTAACGTAATATTCGAGTGGATCCATTCTGTCTGAAAGTCTCTATGTGGAAATAGCGATGAACAGTCGATGGTCCATTCTGTCTGGGGAGTCTCAAATGAAGACAACGTGGTATTATGGTTATGGTACTGATGGTCCTGTCACAGAGAATAACATGGTCATTGGTCATTCTGTCTGAGATGCTCAATATTGAATAGCTGTGGTAACAATGGTCCATTCTGTCTGGGCTCTATATTGAAACAGCATGAATTTTAATGGTCCGTTCTGTCACAGAATCCATGAAACAACTGAAGGTATTATGGTCCATTCTGTCACGAATCTATGTGAGAACAGCATGAGATACTGTGGATCCATTCTGAATCGAAATGGAAGGGTGAAAGCATGGGGTGTGGATCCATTCTGTCACCAAGAATCTCCCGTATTGAACAGGCATGTATGGTCCGTTCTGTCACAGAATGTCAATATTGAGCGCAAGCATGTGTTAGTCCATTCTGTCACCGTCTACGTGGATGAACAGTCTCATTCTGGCTGGTGAACAATGAGTGTCGGATCGTTCTGTCACCAGAAGATGAACTGAAGCGTAATTATTGATGGATCCATTCTGTCAGAATCTCCGTAGTGAAGACTAACATGTTATTATGGTCCATTCTGTCTGAAATCTCACAATGAAGACGAGCATGGGCTACTATGGATCCCATTCTGTCACCAGAATCTCCATCTTGTTGACAACCATGGGGTATTATCGAGTCCATTCTGTCGCAAGAATCTCAAATATTGGAGACGAGCGAAATTTATGGTCCATTTCTGTCAAGACTGGCTTGGTGACAATGGTCCATTCTGTCTGGGAATCTCTAATATTGAAGACAAGCGTAAGGGGTGAATAATGAATCATTCTGTCTGCGTCGTAATGAAGACAACCTTTATGGTATTAATAGTCCATTCTGTCTGAAAGAATCTCTATGTGAAACAACGTAGGGGTGTCGGATCCATTCTGTCTAGGGCTCGGAAGACAAGCATGGGGTGTGTCCATTCTGTGCACAGAAATCTCATATTAATTCAACATGGACTAATGGATCCATTCATATTTAAGAATCTCCATGTGAAGACAAGCATGGTAATCCCATTCTGTCCTGGAAAAATCTCTATGTGGAGACAGGCATGCGGGTATTATTGGATCCCATTTCTGTCTCAGAATCTCTGTGGAGACAAGCATGGGGTGGTAGTCCATTCTGTCTGGAAGTCTCCTTGTGGAGACAAGCATGGTGCCTGTGGATCCATTCTGTGCAAGTCTCCGTGTGGAACAGGCATGGGATATTGTGGATCATTCTGTCACAGAATCTCCGTGTGAGCAAGCATGGGGTACTTTGTGGTCCATTCTGTCTGGAGACAAGCATTGGTATTATTGGATCCATTCTGTCACAGAATCTCTAATAATGGAACAAGCATGGTGGTGTGGATCCATTCTGTCACAGAATCTCCATGTGAAACAAGCATGGGGTGTGTGGATCCATTCTGTCACAGAATCTCTATGTGGAGACAAGCATGGGGTAGTGTGGATCCATTCATGCAGAATCTCCATGTGGAGACAACATGGGTATTGTGGATCCATTTCTGTCAGAATCTCCATGTGAAACAAGCAGGTATTGTGGTCCATTTCTGTCTGCAGAATCTCTATGTGGAGACAAGCAGGTATTGTGGATCATTTCTGTCACAGAATCTGTGGAACGGCGGATGCTGGATCCATTACCAGGTCTCCGTAGGTGTAGGAGTGCCGTGGGGCATCATCATCGTCATCATCATCATCATCGCACAGTGGTGCTGGAACCTGCCATGGCGATGGACTCAACACTGTGATAAAGGCTCTTGATGAAAGCAATGTGCTAACTGCGCGACTCCCTGCATGAATGGATAATGTGTCCTTATATTTTCGGAGAAGAACAAGCTATGGCACTTTCCACTACGAAAGAATGACTGAAGCAACTTATTGCAGGCTGACTGCTGAAATCTTTCGATTAATACTCGAAGCTACACAGAAAAATGGTGAACATTAGCATCGAAAGCCAATATCTTCTGATAAACACTGACTTCAAGTAAGATGCTCTATCGGCTTTCTTTCTTTATTTTCAAGAGCTTTCAAAAGCTGTCTGTATCTGATGAAATGTCGTCCGAGACTTCTTCTGACCAGGCTGTCTTCCCTTAATATCCCTTATCGATCGAAGTTACTTAATTCGATTGTATTCAATCGTGTGTTACGAATACCAGACCAATGAAGCATTGCTAGTGAAGACTCGTAGTGTTACTGAACAACTCACAAATCGTCGTGAGAGAGGAATGGCTGTCTAACGTAATGATCTTGAGTTAGGTGAGTGTTTTAATAGACAATCTTGAATAAACGGCTGGCAACCATTTAACTTTATTTCAAATGAGACTGATGCCAATAATGACATTTCAGGAAGAGGATTTACGGTTGACGAAATATATACGTATTTTCAATGAAATGTCTGATCGAAAATTTTGTTGCTCATGATAATATGATTTTAACAAACTTTGCAAGTCAGAGCCAGAATTGATGTCTTTATTACTGCTAAATATGATTAGATAATATTTGGAGATATGATGACTGTTGAAGGTTATGTTTGAAGTCAACTTCTTCTTTGCCAAAGTGAGAATTGTATCATTCAACAGCTTTCCACATTTGTAACTTCTGGCTCGATACGTGCATGTTCGGTAGCCCGTATATTCTTGATGGTGAAGCGTCGTAGTGGGCGTCATACAAAAGGCAAAATATGAGCCTTGATCCTGTACCGACAATGGTACAGCGGAACTGGTGACTTCGGTCAGTATGATAATATTCTGGTAGGTGACGTAACCTCTCGACAGGCCTTTACGGCTCAGCTTCAGTCTGAGCTGGCTACCACATACGCATGCATCGTCATTTGGCGAGCTCTTCTTTCGAAGGCAGCGTAAACTTCAATTTCCTCCTCACGTGCATCAATTCCGGGAATAGTTGATGGATACTCTTCATTTCTTATTTTAATGATGTAATTCCCCGTATTCGAAAATGATGAAGACATTAAACTATTGATCACCAGCATCGCCAATAGTGGTTATACCAGGGCGTATGGCATGAGTCGAAACATCTGTTCGCGTGGCCGACGATGATAACTTTATTCATTTTAAATATGAAGCTTTACTGAAGTCTCGCTTTCTATTCTCACTGATGTATCTTCTGAAAAGTATTCTTTACGGCTGCTGTAATAACGTTAATGGCTCGATAAACAATGATCTCTGCAATAGTGAGGACCAACAACATTGAACAGAGAAGTCCATGGCGACGTGTTGGCGGCTTGACTTCGAAGGCTGGAACTTCGGTCATGCTAACGGCGTGACCCATGTGTCCTGCCCGAAGTGAGTTTGTTCGCCTGCGGCTGGCTCCAATTATGCTTGTTTGGAAACGACGGTGACATTCCACGTAATTCTATTTTCGTGATCCAGCGATTGTTTTCTGTCGGGCATACGATAACGGGTATGTTTAAAGACTAATGGTTATTATTATTACGTAGCTATTCGGCGTCGTACGTCCGTCGTTAACTGTTGGCGGCGATGTCATGAACTGTTGTACCCAATGTCTTCAGTGGTGAACGCGATGCGTTACCGAGTGCCAGCGGCTGACTTCCTTTCAACTTTCTTGTTAACTTGATCGTGGTTTCGATGACGCCAATGTTGATTTTATTGAAGTCGATACCGAAGACGCTAGTTTATTTGGTGACCTTGACGCTTATCTTCCCGATACTGACGGCAAAGGCGATATCTCATGTCGCCAGTATGTTGACGGCCACGATGGTGATTATGCGGAGCGCGGTCGTTTCGAGCATCTTGTGAACTTAGTAAAGTGGTAAATATGAATGTTCCATTCTTTTGGCGGCGTTGTGCCATGTCGGTAACGGTACTGTTATGTCGACATTGATATTCTTTTCTTTACCTACCCGGCGACGACTGTCGTGCGAGCGTGGTGGAGGACGCGACAACCACGAGCTGGGCTTTGGCTTTTCGAAAGTGCTTCGCTTTCCGAGGAAGTGACCGTGCTGACGAATCGGTACTATTCACCGGCATTCCTTCGGCGCATGTTCTCCGGTCGCCCGCTTCACGAAGGCACCATCACGAAGGTTAACACCGTATGTTTATCAATGTGGCTGTATGTTGGTTGAAATAGCGGTGCTGGCTGGCAATAATGTTGTGCTAAGTGTGATGATATGAGCAGGGAACAAAGAAACATACCGATGGTGATATTATCGCTACCGATATCGATCCCGGAAGTCCGGTATAATACCTCTCTGCTGCTTGAACCAAAGACACCTCATGGTCCAGTGGTAATCTGATTTCACCTTAATGTTCATGTTAAATAAACCATGTTGAATATGTTTTAAGCTGAAGTATGAATGGTCATATGTTGACGAGCGAGCATGATCTTAATGAAATGAAATTCGAACGAGTTTCTGCGCAGAACGGCTCTTGATGACCGTCTTCGGTGAGCTCTGATTCTTGTTGCTAAATGCACGATAAATGTTATAAAGACGTTGTTGTCAATGTTGTAGGCGTGGATCGCAGATCATCGTCACGAGACCTATGGGACGATGCGGCACGGTGGCAGACCGACAGGTTGGAAGTTTCAGGCGATACAACGGCATGTCGAATGCCGAATTCAGGAAAACGGGTATCTTTGTGCCGATGGTGGCACCAGAGAGGCTTTGATATTGAGTTATGAGACAGCCTGAAGAACGCTCTGCATCACGAAGCCCGGTGCTCCAGTAAGCCTTCTACGATTCGAACTTTGCTTTCATAAGCGAGTCTGGAAGGATACCTTTAGATCGATTCCCAAAATTGACACTGGTCGCCAACATGGTGACTTTCGCGATTGCAATTACGAGAAAAGTACCGCTACACCTTTTATTTGGTGTGGTCTAGTGAGCAGTCTTCCGTTTATTAAATTCGGGGTGAATCAGTCTGGTCGACTGTTGAAAAACTTGACGAAGACTATAGCTTTGTGACCGCCGATTTCGTTCAATGATTCAAAACATTTCGAGCGGCTTCATGCAATTCGCTCGCTCTCTGAGGAATATGGCGACGTACACTCTGCGTATTACGGCTTTTCGAATATACTGGTATACGCTCTTCTACGTAAGCTGTTATCGGAAACGCACTATCATTAACTGACATTTTCCGGATCTGAAGTTGAGGCCTTCTGTCGAAGAATCTGTCCGCCTGGCTTTCACGACTGGTCGCCAATGCAGGGGCGATCGTGAAATATTTTGGTGAATTCTGCGTGATCTCGAACGACTATTTGCCGGTTCAATTTATTGATGCGTGGAAAATCGAAAAGCAGAGGTATGCTTTCGGGGCAGGTTTCGATACGGCACATGTTGTTATTCGCCGAGACTTTAACTTTTCCAAACGTGTCGTGCTGATGGAGGAGCTGTTCGTAATGACAGTTCCAACTTTATTCGAACTTCCTATCAACTGGAAATACTGTTCTCGGTATCGGAATTTTGTAAATGTTTTTCGAGTGGAAACCACACTGACGCAATATATGGTGCATTATCATCAAAATCACGTGGAAAAATTAACGCATAAATACGAGCTTTGCTGCTACTGTTGGTAAAACTGCTCCCAAGGTGGTCGTCGATGGATTATGGCTGTTGTTGGTGCATCATCCGTAAAATCTTCAGCGACTTCGGAAAAATGCAAATCGTGGTACTGTCCCAAACGTCGACATCGTCGTACTTAAAGGCCGATGGGTATTGTTGATTGCCAGTTTTTGTGTTAACAAAACGAAGGACGGTTGACGTGTTACTGACGTCACCGACTGTTTCTGTAACGTCGAGACGTCATAATTATGGCCGGATGATGATGATGGGCGTATTTTGAAGTGACCCCCATACGTAATGTGCAAATCGATATTGCAATGTGCAAAGGCTGTTGAGCGTGACAAAGTGATGATTCACTACTCGAAGTGGTGACTTAAAATCGTCACCCTAACACCATATTATGAGCGGTCGCCGGTTATACTGGCGCAACATACACGTATTGATCACCCCATATTTGCATGCGTGCGGCGCCAACCCAGGCGCAACGTCCATCGTTTTGCTGCCCTTCATGATGTGTTTCTCCCTCGTTTGTCGATCGTTTACAACCATGTTGCAATGCGGCGATGAATTAACGCCCACATCAGCGTGGACGAAAGCTGAAACGAAGCTTAAATGGTCTGGTACCATGCGAACCGCCGGAACGAAGATATGGTGAGCAGAGCCGGTTCGGCGAAAATGGTTAAATAAACGACCGTAACTGCTAACCATCGTTCGCACGATGGTCATTCAAACTTTATACCCAACGAAGGCCAGGAAATGTTGTTACTGTTACAGAGCTGCTTTGGTACAAAGGACATTTATTTCGTGACGTGATGTTAATTAAACAATATTGCGCATTGTGGTATATATCACCGAACCCATCGTGTGACTATGACCAGACTTTCATTGAAGGTGGGCACCATGATGAACAACTGTCGATGATATATCCATCGAGTTTCCATGATCTGGATACGAACTATGTTGTTACTAGATTCTTACCATTTTAATACGTCATGCCATATATTGATGGACACTGTTGATCGACACCGGTTTCAATGGTGAATGTAACATGATATTCGATACTGCTGGAAAGTTGATGACCAATTATTGATTATGTTTACGCCGGCGGAGATGTAATGACCGGAAGCAGGTCGTGGTGACAATATTACTTGGATTGATCATATATTTTCATGCGGCCGCTAGGTTCGTCGCAGAAGGTCCCGAAGTCGGGTTTGGTGACATGACCTTCGTTGCGGGTCTGAAGTTTCATTTTACCGTCGATAAACTCGGAACCATTCTTCAGTTTTCATATTCAATACTGAAAACTTTATCGGGAAGGCGCCGGTTTCCGTTTTGATTTGACAGCTCGCGTAATTTCGAGATTAAATGGCGTACTGAATTTCGGCGTAATGAACCGCAATTCGACGAACATTTCAGGCGATTCGTTCTTCGGACTTCGAACTTCTGTTAAATGTTTTTCAATAAACTGTTCTTTGGTACTACGTATTTCATACGCTTTGCGTCGGAGTCAAAGTCGATCGTAACGATTTGGTACGCAAACTGAATATCGGAGGGTTGACTGGTCATCGTTTTGTTGACGTTAACCGTTACTTTATGGTTTGATTTGATGAATTTGTTATGATACTTGGTGATGCTTGTTGTAGTCGGAATTGAACCCTGATAATGATGAACGTATGGATGTTGACATTTATTGCCGAAAACACTGCTCGTATGACTTCACGTATTCCATCGTCACTATTAACGAACCGGTTTATCTTCTTTCTATTTTATTATTAGATCGGTCACTGAACACATTATTTTCGCTGGTGCTACTTACAATGCAGGCAAATGGTACCAGTCTGGGCCGACAACTGCGTTCGGGCTGGTCTCCGTCATTGGGGGCTTCCTTTTTCGATTTGGAATTGACTGATGTTTTATCGAAACTATATTCTGAGACTGCGTAACTGACGGCTTCGTCGAAGAAACCCATGGCTGACGACTGAGACGTCGATGTTTATATATGGTTGTTCGCTGGCTTCGTCTTTTGTTGGAATGATGTGGCGTTGGTCATGGGGCGGTTGAATACCCATTAATTTTATTGACCTACTGACGATACTGGCGGTGAATATTGCTGAACATATTGCTTAAGCGACTGCTCAAACTCGATCTTGTTAACGGGAAGCGTTAACCCTGATGATTAAAGCATTCTTCATACTGGTATATCTGTGCTTTGATGTTGTAAAACGCCATGTCATGATATCGCCATACACCACCGGTTAACTGGCTTTGTTTAACTGTCGGTCTAATAACGGTTATTTATTCTCTGAAGTTAACGCGTTAATGCTGCGTTACTCGGCTTTATGTGGTGGTCGGAACGGTAGTTTTGCGCTCGTATTATTCGAAGCTATGGCGTCTATGTCGGTCGCAGATCGGGCTGTCCGGATCGGCATGGGCGATCTAACGGTGAACGACGTGACGATCGACGGAAGTAAATTCACCCGTTGAATAATGCGATGAAGATCGGTAAACCTTTTGTTGAAGCGTGGTTGCTGGTATTACCCGGTTCTTCGCGGTCACTCGGCTATATGACGGCGTTCTAATATATTGAACATCAACCAGTTTAATCGAATTGACATCGTGTTATGGATCTTGATTGACAATCCGTCTATTTAGATAACTTTGTTCTTTTGCCTCTTAGATGACGTGGTACTGGTCAATTCTAATCGATCTTCATTTCTCCCTCGAATGGCTGGCAATATTTTGCGTTTTCAAAAATGCAAAGTACTGAAATAACGAAGCGTGAAGCTTCGATTCGCGAGGACGAACCCACTGCTGCGACGAAGCTTCGGAAGTTGACCCTGTCACAGAAATGGCCTCTCAGCCGGAGATCACGATGACATCGGGCTCAGGATTGGCACGGCGACTGACGCAACCGCGACTGATATCTGTCGACCGCTAAATACCGGTGTGTTTGGGGAGTATTATTAATGGCGTGTTTGAATTATTGAATCCAAAGATGAGACTTTGCGAAATATTGACGAAAATCGAAATTCTACTGATGTTATTCTGCATTGACTGCTGAGCAGCGTTAATGTGTTGAATGCCTGTCTTTGTATCGCGCTGCGACGAAGCCACGCATGAAAACGTGGCAACAAAACATGTCGTATTCATCGGTGAATCATGCCGATGTTATCTGACCCGACAGCGGTGAAATAATCAGGTGCATGATGCTATAGTATTTTTTGAAACTTCATTTTCAATCGTACCATCAGGGGATCGGGAACGGAATCCAAAGCGTGTATCAATGATGCCGAATGACGCTTTTATTAAAGGATGTTTTGTGTTCTTCATCGGTTATTTTGTTGCAAATATCTATTGCTTATATTGACGTTATGTGTGCTATGAAGAGCTGTCAAGAGCTGATAACGTATTAACCGAACAGACAGAACGATATTTGAGCTGCTGAAGATTCAGGCTGTTTGAGGACCG